GGCAAGAACTGGGTGAGCCCTGGGTGCCAGCCAGGCCTGGGCCCAGATGGTGATTTGGGGCTGCGCACAAGTGAGCCCTTGGGGGAGTGGGTGGGGAGAGAAGCAGTGAGCTGGCGTGGACCTGTTGAGGGTGGCCCTTGGGGGTGGGCCTGGAGGGACCCCAAGGGGCTTTGTCTCAGTGGGCCACGTGTGTGTATGTGTGCTTTTGTGTGGGTAGGTATGGCCCAGCAGACACACCTGTCCCTCTTCCCTGCCTCCTGGTGTCTGCCGCTTCTCTTCAGAGTGTCAGGAGGGGGAGGGGAGCAGGAAACTGAGGTTTTGTGAGTCAGAGTCACGGCCCTCCATCGCCCCACCGCCACCTCCAGCCCAACAACCAGCCTGCTGCCGACCTCCTTGGCATTGCCTCTGTGATCTGGAGGGTGGGTGGTCTCCAGAGATCGTAGCCCAGCTCCTCTGCTGTCAAGGTCCTGGGGTCTGCTCATCACTGCCCAGGGGTCCAGGCTGGTGCCCAGGCCCCTGGCTCTGCCTGTAGCTCCTGTGCACATTCAGGGTGGACTGGGCTGGCTGGTCTGGGGCGGTGGGAGAGGGGGGGCTGCATCCATCAGGCCCTCGGAGGTGTGCGCCTTGGCTTTCAGGGCCTGGGGGCAGGCCCTCAGAGAAGCTTCGTGCGAGTGCCCTCTCCTTCCCTGTTTGCTCCCGCTCTTCTGCTAGTGTGGGCAGTAGTGTTAAAGCCGGTCTGTGCGGGGACCTGCATGTCACGTGTGGGACATGAAGGTAGGGAGGCTTCTGTCTTAGCCTGCTTTACCCTGCTGCTGCGCTGGGTGGAAGTTGGAGGTAGAACAGAGGCCTGTGTCCCTCCTCCACTGATCTGAGGTGAGTGGCCCCCTGACACGGCCCTCATCATGCCTCTTGGTTTGGTTCTCCAGGGGTGAACAAGAGGTAGGGGCCTCTGACCCCACCAGTGTAGACTTGAGCTGGGAGTTGTGCCCAGGGCATAGAGAGGGGGAAGCAGACCTGGGCCTCCTGCCCCCAGACCTCCTCCCTGGCCCAGGGCACCCAGGGCTGCACAGGCAGGGGATAGACCCCTGCAAGTTGCTAGATCCCCAGCACTCAGGAGGGCCCTCTGTTAGTGGGTGTCCTGAGACCTGGTCTCCATCCTTCCTGCCACCCCTCTCTGGGTCCTGTGCTGGGCCTGTCTGTCTCGGAGGCAGTGGTGTGAGTGGCAGTTCAGGCCTGGGTATCCTCTCCTCCGGCTCAGACAACAGGTGTGAGACCCCTGTGCCTCTTGAGTGGGCCCAGAGCTGGCAGTGAGGTGGGTGCCCACTGTCATCATGGTGCTCACTACCTAGCAGGTTGGGGGGGGGGGGGCAGTCCTGGGGACCAGGTGTCGAAGCTGGTGGTTGGCTGTGGAACCGTCCAGAGCTGCTCTCCCCTCGATGGAGGGGTGACCTGCTGGTGGGCGGCTGGGGGTATCGACGTGTTGGGAAGGGGCTTCTGTGCCTGGCCTGGCCCAGCCCACGGCTTTCAGGACTCCACATCCCATGCCAGGGGGTTCTCTCCGTGCACTCTGGTAGCCCTGGCATCTGTGGCCGCCTGGGGGTCCTCCCCTCATAAGATATTTTTAGGGAAATGATAGGTCTGGGAGTGGTGGCTGGTCTGATGCCAGATGAAAGCCAGGGTAGTAGGATGTGTCCATCCGAGACCCTCGAGGCCCCCGACTTGGTGGGCATGCGGGAGGTGGTGGGTGCCCTGACTGCCTGCTCCTGTCCTCAGGGAGTGGGGAAGGCCAGGGCCAGATCCTGCAGCGCTTCCCAGAGAAGGACTGGGAAGACAACCCGTTCCCCCAGGGCATCGAGCTGGTGAGTCGGGGGTGTTGAGATGGGGGTGGGCAGGCCGGCACTGGTTTTCCCCGGGACTGTGAGGAGCCTGCGCAGGGCCCAGCCCCCGCCACGCATAAGGGGACATCTGAGCTGCTGCGGGGGGAGGAGGGTGGAGGTCCTGGGCTTGGCTGGCAGGGTACGTGGTGCCCACGTTGCGTCATGTCGTCCTTCCCTCGTGATGGCAGAGACCACGTCCTGCGTCACAAGGTTCTCTGTGCACGCGGGGAGACCAGGGGCCGTGACTTCCTTCTGTGGGGAAGGGCGAGGTGACCCTCACTGAGGTGAGCTCACTGGTGACCCCTACCCACCCTTCCCTGCAGTTTTGCCAGCCCAGTGGGTGGCAGCTGTGTCCTGAGAGGAACCCACCAACCTTCTTTGTTGCTGTCCTCACCGACATCAACTCTGAGCGGCACTACTGCGCCTGCCTGACCTTCTGGGAGCCAGCGGAGCCCACACAGGTCATCTTGGGGGCTCTGGGGTACAGCCGCAAGGGGTTCCGGCTGTGGCCACCACCCTCTGCCTCTGTCCAAGGCTGTGTCTCCCTGTGTGTGGCAGGTCCTGGGGCCTCAACCCCACGGGAGCCGGAGTTCCCAGAGGGCTGGTCCCGTCTGAGTCACTTGTGTCCTCCCCCTGCCTCCCCCGGGCTCGTGGGACCTGCCTGAGAGCTGGGCAAACGGGGCTTCTGTCCACAGGAAGTGGTGTGCACAGAGGACACCACCGAGAGGGAGGAGGAGGCGGACGAGGGTGGCCCGGTGCAACTCTCCCCTGTGACGCCTGGCCCACCTGGCCAGCTGTTCGCACCAAAGACACTGGTGCTGGTATCTCGACTGGACCACGCGGAGGTGTTCAGGGTGAGGCGAGCACCCGGGGCTCGAGGCCGGACACGGGGTGCCCCCGCCGGATGTGCCGCCATTCTCCAATCTGTGGTCCTTGCAGAACAGCCTGGGTCTCATTTACACCATCCACGTGGAGGGCCTGAACGTGGGCCTGGAGAACGTGGTCGGGAACCTGCTCACATGCATCATCCCCCTGGCTGGGGGCTCGCAGGTGGGTCTTGGGGGCAGCTGCTGTCCACCCAGAGCAATGGCCCTTCAGGTGTCCCAGGCCACGAGCATGCGGCCTGTAGGCACTTGGAGTCCTTGGGCACTTGGGCTCAGCATGGACACTGTCCTGCGTCTTGGTGCTGCCGTCACCTGTCGTCCCTTCTCGGCCCTGCCAGCTCGCCTGTGTGTCCCGTGTCTTGCCTGGCTCCCCACCTGGCATCTGTCAGTTTCTGTGTCCTCTTGCTCCTTGGGTGTGCCTGTCTCCGGATGTCCGCTTATCTCTCTGCTCCCTGGTCAGTATCCCCACGTGTGGGTGCGTCTAACTGTGTTTCTCTGCCTGTCTGTCCTGTGCAGCTGGACTCTGTTGAGGATGGAGTGGTATGGATTCTTTGTTTCTTCTGCCCACCCAGGCCCCACCCTGCCCCAGGTCAGAGGCCCTGAGTTTTCTCTGCAGCACTGCTCAGGCCGCCGGGCCAGGCGCGGCCTTTCCCTCATGTTAGGCCGCCTGTCCTGGCCAGTCTCACCTCAGCCCATGGAGCTCCGGGCTGACACGGGTCTGGTCGGAGCAGCTGAGTACTGGCCCCTCTCTTTCCACAGAGAACCATCTCTTTGGGGGCTGGTGACCGGCAGGTTATCCAGACCCCGCTCGCCGACTCGCTGCCCATCAGCCGCTGCAGCGTGGCCCTGCTCTTCCGCCAGCTGGGTGAGCCCGGGCGTCCCCAGCCTGCACAGCCCTCCCTGTCCTCTCCCTGGGGGCTGGCAGTCAGAGGTGGGGTTCTTACAGCGCCGGCCCTCCACGCCTGTGTCTTCTCTCCAGGCATCACCAACGTGCTGTCTTTGTTCTGCGCCGCACTCACCGAGCACAAGGTGCTCTTCCTGTCCCGGAGCTACCAGCGCCTCTCGGACGCCTGCCGGGGGCTCCTGGCGCTGCTGTTCCCCCTCAGATACAGGTGCCTCCGCTGCCGCCTCGCCCCCTCCCCGGCCCCACCCCCTGGCCCCCCTGGGCTGAGCCCTGGTCTGTTGCAGCTTCACCTACGTGCCCATCCTGCCGGCACAGCTCTTGGAGGTGCTCAGCACACCCACCCCCTTCATCATCGGGGTCAACGCGACCTTCCAGGCAGAGACCCAAGAGCTGGTGAGGCCTGTGGCTTGTGCCTGCCTCTCCGTTCCCGGCCCTGCTGACTGGCTACGGGCCCCTGACCGCTCGCTTGCTCCCTTTGGTCCCCAGCTGGATGTGATCGTCGCTGATCTCGATGGAGGGACGGTGACTGTCCCCGAGTGTGTGCACATTCCACCCCTGCCGGAGCCCCTGCAGAGCCAGACACACAGTGTGCTGAGCATGGTGAGGCGGGACCGGTGGCTTCGGGGAAGCTGAGGTGGGGTCGCTTGGCAGTAAGGGGACCGCAGAGCCCGGGGCTGGTGTGCAGCGGACCCCGCTCCCGTCTGCTGCTGCAGGTCCTGGACCCGGAGCTGGAGCTGGCAGACCTCGCCTTCCCACCGCCCTCAGCCAACGCTTCTTCCCTGAAGATGCAGGTGGGGGTCACTGCGGCTCCAGTGCGGGGGGGGCCCACGCTAAGCCTGCAGCCTCTCCTCAGGTCTGCTGCCACCGATGGCCAGCGGGCAGGGCCAACCAAGCACCCTGTGCAGCCACCCCTTCTGGGCCGGTGGCAGGGGGCCGCTGGCGGGGGCTGTGTGTGTGTGAGTCCTCGAGGGGCCTGTGCGGGAGTGGCTGTCGACACTGGGTCTTAGAGGAGTCGCCGTGGCTTTGTGTGAAGGAAGGGTGGAGGGGCAGGAGGGGGCAGAGGTGCCTGGGAGGCCTGGGCACGGCGTGGATGGGCGTGTTTGGTGCGCAGAGGTGGAACCTGGGGTGGGTGGAGGGCTGCCGCATGCTGGGGCTGGGGTGGGCCTGCGGCCTAGAGCTCACCCGCACTCACCTGCGCCCCAGGACAAGGAACTGCGTGCCGTCTTTCTACGGCTCTTTGCTCAGCTCCTGCAGGGCTATCGTTGGTGTCTGCACATGGTCCGCATCCACCCGGAGCCTGTCATCCGCTTTCATAAGGTGGGCCACGGGAGGGGGAGGGGCGGAGGCAGGCAGGAAGTCAGTGCTGAGGGACTGACCCCCTGGTGTGCCCCTAGGCAGCCTTCCTGGGCCAGCGAGGGCTGGTGGAGGATGACTTCCTGATGAAGGTGCTGGAGGGCATGGCCTTTGCAGGCTTCGTGTCGGAGCGTGGGGTCCCTTACCGTCCTACGGACCTGTTTGATGAGGTGTGCCCCTGCCCCTGTGGGAGGAGCTCCCACCACCAGCTCCCTGCCTTGCCCGGCCTTCCTGACCCTGCCTCCTCCCCCAGCTGGTGGCTCATGAGGTGGCACGGATGCGGGCGGATGAGAACCACCCCCAGCGCGTCCTGCGTCACGTCAAAGAACTGGCGGAGCAGCTTTACAAGAATGTACGGCGGGTGGCACGGGGCGGGTGGGGTGGTGGACCAGCCTAGCTAGGTCATCGCGCCTCCTGGCGTCAGGCCGCCTGCCCACACCTGCCTGTGTCCCCCCCAGGAGAACCCATATCCCGCCGTGGCTATGCACAAGGTACAGAAGCCGGGGGAGGCCAGCCACCTGCGGCGGGCACCCCGCCCCTTCCCCCGGCTGGATGAAGGCGTGGTGCAGTGGATCGTGGACCAGGCCACGGCCAAGATGCAGGGCGCACCCCCGGCCGTGAAGGCTGAAAGGAGGACCACTGTGCCCTCGGGGCCTCCCATGAGTGCGTAATGGGGAGGGGGCCCCTCGCGTGGCCCAGGGTGGGCACGAGGGCAGAGGTGAATGCAGCTTCTGCTCCCCAGCCGCCATACTGGAGCGGAGCAGCGGGCTCCACGGCAACAGCGCACGGCGGCTGGAGGTGGTTCGAAACTGCATCTCCTACGTGTTCGAGGGGAAGATGCTGGAGGCCAAGAAGGTGAGGACGGCTGGGGGCGCGGAGCCCCGGCGGAGAGCGCTGAGCCTGGGTCAGTCCACCTGCTGGCAGCTGGCAGGGGCTGGGCGGGCAGAAGGGGAGGAGGGGCAGGGGGACACCGGGTCTCAGGCTCCTTCCTTAGTGCAGCTGGACAGAGCCTGCCGAGGCGGCTCGCAAGACGGACCTTTCATCTCTTAGACGTCAGAACACGCGAGAGGTTTCTGCTGCTGGGTTCCTTCATCCTTCGTGAAAAGAGTGCAGGCCCACACAAGGCGTTTTTTGTTTTGCTTTTTTTTTTTAATTGGTAAAAACTGCCCTCTGTGGTGTTTGTGAACACCTCGGGTTTCATGACAGCCAGTTTGAATGTGTCTTTTGTTCACCCCTCCTGTGAGGGGCCTACAGGGTCCCTAGCTGTTCTACGAAGAAAAATAATAAGGGGTGCCGGGGTGGCTCAGTTGGTTGAGCGTCCAACTCGATTTCAGCTCAGGTCGTGATCTCATGGTTTATGGGATCGAGTCCTGCCTTGGTCTCTGTGCTGACAGCATGGAGCCTGCTTGGGGTGCTCTCTCTCTCTCCCCCTCTCCGCCTCTCCCCCTCTCCCTCCCTCCCTC